GTAACTCGACACCCTCGCCTCATTTAGTATGCACGGTTCTATGAATATGCAAATGAGCCCCGCCTCCACTCACTCACTCAGCTCAGAGATCCACTGGTTGATGATCACACGTTGATCTGATTGGTTACAAGGTCGTTTAAAGGTAAATAAAATAAAAAATCTCGGAAAAAGTTTAATTAAAAAATAGAAAAACTTTCTGGACAAAAAAAAAAATTATTATAATTTTAGGTGTTTCGGCTCATTTTGACCCGCGAGGGAAAGATTTGTTACAAAGTGTGACGCCGTCATTTTCATATGAGAGATGTTTTGTATGTTGTGCAGGGTGATTATGACCACATTTAATTATACATTTAATGATTATTTTAACAGCAAGTGTTCTGAGTGTTAGAAAGCTTATATATACAAAATAATATATACACACATATATTATGTAAACACAGACTTTTATTTTGGATGTGATTAAATGTTGCACAGACCTAAAAAAAAAAAAACCTAATTTTAAATATTAATAAAACTATAATAGTTTATTAAAATAAAATGCAGAATAAAGGGGCGGGGCCTGGTTGAGTTAGTTAGTAGTGTGTTAAACTGGCGGTTATGGAAAGGGGCGGGACTTTCCCAAACACACTCGAAGCGCTCGACCAATCACAACATACTGATCCAGCCGACCAATCAGAGCACAGTGTGCTTTTCAGGAGGAGAGACAGGAAGTAAACAGAGCGTTACTGACAGACTGGGAAGAGAGGAGCCGCAACAATGGAGAATATGAGGAGAATAATCAACATTCAAGCAGGAAAACCTGTTCTAGTCGAGCCTGAAAACAAGAGTGTGTGAAAGGGAACAACAGCTCCTGTATTTATCCGAGTGTGAGACATTTACACACACTCTCACGCTGATATTCTCTTGGCTCAAACAAGATGAGGACGTCCGTCAGACTCGTTATCTCAGAGACTCTGGTGACGGACACACACACACACACACACACACACACACACACAGATCAGCACGTCTGTCGAGGGCCAGTGTTTCCCTCGAGTGGGCCGATGCCAGGCTTGTGCCCGTCTAGACCGAGTGCCATCTGTGTGTGTGTGTGTGAGTGTGTGTGTGTGTGTGTGTGTGTGTGTGTGTGTGTGTGTGTGTGTGTGTGTGTGTGTGAGTGTGTGTGTGTGTCTGTCGCACGCCTCCGTCGGGGATCTGTGGGAGATTCAACCGTTTCCAAACACACATTTACACTAAACTGAAAAAATTTAGTTGGCAGGAAAATGGAGTTTGAACAAACTAATGAGAGATTACTGCGGTTTCACAGTTAATTTCATTAAGAACACACACGTTTATTTCAACCTTTCAATTACTTTTGTAAAAAGTCAAAAAAGTGAAATATAATATAATTGAAACACACATACATAATCATATATACACACACATACATATACACGCACACACACAATTATATATATATATATATATATATATATACACACCCACACACACACAATCTAAATGAATATATTACATTTAAATATTATGTATATTTTAAATAAACCACTTTCCTTCTATTTAAAAATAAAAAATTATTTATGACAATGATATATATCATTTTTTCCTCAGTTTATTTCACCAATAAACTGTTTAACAATAAGACCAGGAACTTTTATATCACTAATTTTTTACTTGTATATAAAATTAAATAATTGAATTTCTATTACTATATTATCAATTATATGATTTATTATGCTATATTTAAATCCTTATCTTTTTATTTATAAAATAAAACAGGAAATATAATAATAAAACTTCAATTTTTATATATATATATATATATATATATATATATATATATAAATAAATATAATTTTTTCTTCCATTATTTCATATATGAACTATAAGAATTAGAATTAGTAGAATGAAAGGGTGTTCCCGACAGGAAAACACACGATTAGTCGGATCAATTACCCAATCGGGAGATTCAAAGATCCATGTAACGAATCCTGGATCCTGACCTGTCAATCAGAGCCAGACTGGAATGTTCCGGAATGTCATGATGACGTCACAGTATCCTATAGTGTGACATCAACATCTCACTGGCTATAAAACCGCTGACCTTTGACCTCTGACCTTCTGTCCTCATCTGAGCGTATATACGACACACAAAGAGACTCTTTTACGCCCTGAATGTATCCGTTTTCGCTTAAAGTAGCGGCCGGCCTCTCCCACAACTGAGGGAAATCTGGGTCGCCCATTGTGCAACTTCATGGAGAAAAAGCATCATTGTTGGCTCTCTCTCTCTCTCTCTCTCAGCAGAGTTTGGAAACAGCAACTATGTTTCCTCAAATGAACTGTGTGTTTGTGTGTGAGAGAGTGTGTGCGCTTCCAAAGACGGGAATCAACCAGTTTACGCTGAAACAAAGCAGATGTTTTAATTGATGCCGCTTTCTAACACTCAGAACACTTGCTGTTAAAATAATCATTAAATGTATAATTAAATGTGGTCATAATCACCCTGCACAACATACAAAACATCTCTCATATGAAAATGACGGCGTCACACTTTGTAACAAATCTTTCCCTCGCGGGTCAAAATGAGCCGAAACACCTAAAATTATTTATAATACTTTTCTTTTTTGTCCAGAAAGTTTTTCTATTTTAATTAAACTTTTTCCGAGATTTTTTGTTATTTTTTATTTTATTTACCTTTAAATTACTAGATTTGATCAATAAAAAAATAATACAAATAGTAATTTAAGCACATTCCTCACATTCTTTCAACTTAAATTCAAAATAACTCACAATTCAGCTCTAAATATCTTACATCGGGAGTCTTTGACCTCGTGTGGAAAATAATAATAACATGATATTTCATGACTCTAGATGGACTCTCTGATGAACACTCAATTTTAAAAAATGACCCGAGGCAAAGATGAGGGTTAAAAATAAAAAGACAGATAATCTTACATAAAAAAAATACATAATTATACAGCTAATTCTGGTTCTCGAATCTGATTGGCTGAGAGCCTTTTCCAGCAATGCAACATTCTACTAATATCATACAGAAACCGTTTCACAGTTCGTATCACTCCGCTCGTTCCTGCCGGATCTTTTCTCACAGAAAGCGTCATTGGTGGGGAAGCGAACCCACTGTTTGACAAACACTGCTGTTATTGCGTCACGGAACGCCGTTTAAGAGGCTTTAGGTGAGAATGTAATCGCTTAGACCTCAAATATGCTATTTATATTATAAATGTGTAAAATATAACATTTCACTTTTATTGCATTACACGTTTTTTCCTCCTCGCTTTAGTGCTGTACTGTTCGATGTAGCATTTATTTGTTTTAATCAAATGTATTAATTTATTTTAATCAATTGTCTGTTATTTAAAGTTCTTTTATTTATTTATTTTTTACACGGCTTCTCCCTGAACTTTTCCACTGACCCACTAGCACTCCTTTGTTAGATATACTATTTATTTTAATCAAATAGTTTAATTTATTTGGATAATTCTTAATTATTTTAATGTTTTTATTTATTTATCTGATTAATTATCATTTATTTAACCTCTTAAGTGTCACCGGGCCCAAATCCATTACATTTTTAAAACAGTAATATCCAATACTAAACCTAAACTAATATTGACAAACTATATATCATTTGAAAGCTTACAATCTCTAGTTTCCATATTTAAATTAATTTTTTTTAATTTAACTTACAGAGGAGCCGTAATTTATCAATTTGCAACAATAATATTTTCATACTCCTAAGGCGTGTTTAGGGGGGTGACACTTAACAGGTTAAATTAAATGTACTTTAAATTTGATTCAAATTATAAAAATATTTAAATAATGTTAATCTTATGTTTATTTTTACATTGCTTCACTAAACTTTTCCACTGAGCCTTTAGCACTCACTGTTAGAAGTATTAATTATTTAAAAAAAAATATTTTTTGAATATTTCTTATGTATTTTAATGTTTCTTTTTATTTATTTAAAGCAAAAGTATATATCAATTTTAATCAAATTTAGTGTGTTTAATCTGACTTTAGATGTCAGTGTTTGTGCATGAGTCTGATCTCTAGTGTGTTTGTGCGTCGGTCTGAAGGCATTGTGGTCGTTCTTTCACATGATGATTGTTTGCCCTGTGTTTATGGGCTCTGGCGACCCAGGCCGTGACCTCTGACCTCTGGTGACACTCACACTCCTTCATCATGCCGATGTCGACGCAGCGCTTCAGACGACAGGCCTGGCAGTGACGCCGGTTGTCTTTGGTGATGGAGCAGTTTCCGCTGAACGGGCAGGTAAAGCTGGCCTTGCGCTTCATACTGCGCCTGAGAGACACACACACACACACACACACACGTTAGAAATCACTGACAACTGTACAGGTCAATCTGGTAGATAAAAACACAACATATTACAACATATGCAACATGCAAGAGACATGGTGAAACTGAGACGCATTCTAATGAGTTGGTCACGATAACAAGGACTTTATGCATATTTTTAATTTATATATAAAAAAAAATTATATGTAATAAGTATATAACAACATTAGGTATTTTTCTAATCCATAAATATAAAATATATATAAATTGTTGTTTATATTCATACAAATGTTAAATATGAATATATATGATTTTAATATAATACAATATTTAAGAGACGTATATAATAAGTGTGTGTGTGTGCGCGTGTGTATATATATTATATATTAAATATATTAAAATTAAGTTTATATTTATATACATATACAGTGCACACACCCCTTTACTAAATAAAAGCAATGACACAACAACACACACACACCTCTATCATCTGTAAACACACCATGTGATCAGAGCAAAAGAGCCAGACATGTTTTGACGGTGACGGTGAAAGAAAACTGTCAGATTATTATAAATGCTGGCCGTTAATACGTCACAGGTCAAAACTAATTTTTTTCTAATAAACACTCAAGATGCTCCAGTCAGGATTTTTACAGTCGAGCCTTGAATAAGCTCTGTTAACCCCTCACACCCTGAAGGCATTTTAATGAGTTCACGTGATTTCAAGTGGTGTAATTATAACTCTAAACTTTGAAAGGTTTTCTATCAAATGACTTGTACTTGTTGATATCTTGTTTTTTTTCTAAAGGAAATAGATTTTATTCATGTTTGGAGGTTCTTTTGTTACATCGCTGCTGGGAAAACCCCAGAAAAATGTATGTTATTATTTTTGTTCCTCATGCTTGACATTGATTACTATTATAAAAGTATACATGACAAGTCATAAAATCCAGTTTGGGCGTGTTCACTAACATGTGAACCGCTTCCGGGCCAAATTTAGTCCTGATATCTCAAAGCAATTAAAAATAACTTCTTTCATGTGTAAACACCACAAATCATAAAATATTTATAATTACATAGAACAAGTAACAAGATCCTGGCTGATGAGTGATGATCTTCCAGCGCTGGTAAATCCAGACCTGTCAATCTGAGCGATCTGTCCAATCCAAGCGTGTTCTAGCTGTAAAACAGTGTCTGATTGGTCTCTACCATAGACTGTAAAATATGGGCGTGACGTCACCCTAGTGTTTCTGAAGAGCATTTTTGAAGCCCAAAGTGGGCGGAGCCGGATGTCGCCATCTTGTTAGCGTCACTCCCGGATAATTGAACATGTGCAGCGAGGTGGATTAGCTGAGGTGACGTGACGCTAACAGACAAACGGCTAGCAGTGACATCAGCGGCAATCCACCTGTCACTCAAGTGGCCACGCCCTTAATTATGCAGAACTTTAAGGCTTAATATAATTTAAACGGATGAGTTATAAAAACATTCACCCCCGTCACAGTCGTCATGAAGGGTAAAATTAGCTATATAGACCAAAACCACTTTTTGCACCAGGCTGTAAACATGTTTATTTCTGCTGTAAAGTTGGGCATTTTAACATGCGAGTCTATGGGATTGAGTTTCTTTTGCAGCCGGTCTCTACTGGCCAGTCGATGAACTGCAGTTTAAGTCACTTCAGTGTTGGATTCAAGAGAGATCATAAGGTTGCCGCTTGGTCTCTACACATCGTCCCTTTATCCACCAAACCAGATATTTTTATTTTATTTTTTGAGATGAGAGATCAATGAAAGATCCACAGTTTCCATTGGTTGAACTTTCAAGTCACGTAAAAAAAAAAAAAAAAAAAAACGATCCTGGAAGTCCCATTGCTTTAGCGAAACGTCACGTCAATGTCACTCCGTGAGGATTTTCTCCAGATCTACGCATCATGTTATGTTTTGTGTGGGTTTGTTTGAATCGAGACAACCTGCTCTAAATAAATATGTGTGATTTACTATGGTTTACCTATGTTTCACGAAGTTAAAAAGCAGAATGTGGCATCATCAGTATTAGCTACTGGAGTGCCTCAGGGCTCAGTGCTGGGACCACTTCTCTTCTCCATCTACATGTCCTCACTAGGATCTGTCATTCAGAAACATGGTTTTTCCCATCACTGCTATCATCTAGCTACTGGAGTGCCTCAGGGCTCAGTGCTGGGACCGCTTCTCTTCTACATCTACATGTCCTCACTAGGATCTGTCATTCAGAAACATGGTTTCTCCCATCACTGTTATCATCTAGCTACTGGAGTGCCTCAGGGCTCAGTGCTGGGACCGCTTCTCTTCTCCATCTACATGTCATCACTGGGATCTGTCATTCAGAAATATGGTTTATCCCATCACTGCTATCATCTAGCTACTGGAGTGCCTCAGGGCTCAGTGCTGGGACTGCTTCTCTTCTCCATCTACATGTCCTCACTAGGATCTGTCATTCAGAAACATGGTTTCTCCCATCACTGTTATCATCTAGCTACTGGAGTGCCTCAGGGCTCAGTGCTGGGACTGCTTCTCTTCTACATCTACATGTCCTCACTAGGATCTGTCATTCAGAAACATGGTCTTTCCCATCACTGCTATCATCTAGCTACTGGAGTGCCTCAGGGCTCAGTGCTGGGACCGCTTCTCTTCTACATCTACATGTCCTCACTAGGATCTGTCATTCAGAAACAGGGTTTTCCCATCACTGCTATCATCTAGCTACTGGAGTGCCTCAGGGCTCAGTGCTGGGACCGCTTCTCTTCTACATCTACATGTCCTCACTGGGATCTGTCATTCAGAAACATGGTTTATCCCATCACTGCTATCATCTAGCTACTGGAGTGCCTCAGGGCTCAGTGCTGGGACCGCTTCTCTTCTCCATCTACATGTCCTCACTGGGATCTGTCATTCAGAAACATGGCTTTTCCCATCACTGCTATCATCTAGCTACTGGAGTGCTAGATCGCTGCTACGCTGCTGACACACAACTCTACCTCTCATTTCAGCCGGATGATCAGACGGTAGCAATTCGTATCTCAACCTGATTGACAGACATTTCTGGCTGGATGAAGAACCCTCACCTTCACCTGGACTGTTCCCTGCTGGAGGAATGACCTGCCCAACTCAACCAGAGCGGCTCAGTCCGTGGCCATTTTCAAGAAACGGCTGAAGACGCATCTTTTTCGGCAACAATTAATGCATTAATACGAACACCATCTTCTATTCTATATCTATTATCTTTATTAAAAAAAATTAAATAACGTACACGTACTGCGTTAGATTAAGCAATTGCATATTGTTGTCCTATTGTTAGTTTAGCTGCTTCTATTGTTTTCATTTGTAAGTCGCTTTGGATAAAAGCGTCTGCTAAATGAATAAATGTAAATGTACTGTTTACATGCACATTGGGCGGTTTTACATCATTAAATTGCGATCGGTTTGTGAGATCGGCCAAATTAAGTGACTTCCGATCGAGCCCTTGAATATGATTATCGGCAGATTCCGATCGATCGGAGCATCCCTAATAAATAGCTTTACATTTATGCATTTGACAGATGCTTTACAAAGCACACAAGGTTAATGCGTTCACCGGGAATCAAACCCATGACCAAAACTGAGGAAAATGAGGATCTGCTCCAGTATTCAATGCATAGGTCACTCCAAAAACATCTAAATCAGTAAATCACAGAAACAAACGTGCTTTAAAGAGAGAACGTGCCATCTGACAGACACCTGAAGATCCTTCATCCTCAACATGTGCTTCCCACACTGATCTAGAACACAGAGTGGACATTTACGTGGATGCATGACGAAAAACAGGATTTATAAATAATGAATGACCATGAGCTCATTAACATATGTACGACCCTTTGTCTATCTGTTTTATTTTTCCCCCAAATTCCATTTTATTTTTTTCAAAATTCCATTTGAATTATTCTGGATTCCATTTTACACCGTGTCTTCACCATATGCGATGTGATAAGATTCCAGCGACAAGCAGTTTATCTGTCGACAGCAGATGTGACGATCAGTGTTCAAAGTTACTTTGAAAAGTAATGCATTACAACATTGCGTTACTCCCTTAAAAAGTATGTTACTTAGTTACTTTTTAAGAAAAGTAATGCATAACATTACTTTTGCGTTACTTTTTCTGACCTGGTCTGGGCATTTTATAACAAAAAAAGTGTTTTTGGGCAAATGTAAAGACCCTTTCACACCAAAGGTGAAATAAGCTTAAGCTTAAGTCCCTTTAAATGCAAATCAGCTGCTGCTCCCGGCGCAGAGGGCGGAGCTACAAGAGCTAGTGTGTGTGTGTGTGTGTGTGTTAGCAGCTCCGATTACCTCACACAGACACGCACTGAAATGTCAGAAACTGTTCTGCCTTTTATGTTTAAACTGGAGTCGGACAAAGATGGAGAGACTCGAGAAGAAGTGACAACATGTAGAAGCAACAGGACATCTCTGAGCGGTTAGTTGATGTATTTATGCAGCTGATGTGGAGTTAACTATCTTCAATTAGCATATTCTGTCATGATAATCTATAAATCGCTGTGTGGAACTGTTGTGAGACGCACACAGACTGACATGCGATTGCATTTGTGTTACGAACTGTATTGCGTGTGAAAATAAATGTGCTCGACTACAACAACTCTTCCTCTTCTCAACATGCACTGCGTGTTCAGGGGGCGGGGCTTATGTAGATTTTAGTGTTTGTGATGTCACTAACCCGGGAGGAAGCTTGTGTACAGGGCCGGCGATTGCTATAGGCGAAGGGCTAGAGCCGGCCCTGCTTGTGTAGTTCCTTCCAGCCGTTTGTTGTAGTCCTTAAAAAGCGATTTCTTTAAAAGCAAATCTCTCCCTTTGCTTTGAACTTTGAGCGTCGTAACTTTGCAGATGTTGTTTATGCTCAAACAGCAACATTACACACTCACTAAAGTTAGAAAAGTGAAATCATAATCAACCACGGCTTTAAACAGTCAGTCCATTAGGTTACATAAGCAGATATTTTTCAGCATGGCCATTAAAGCAAAGGTGTGATGAGGTCCTCCAGAACCACTGACCTTTGAGAGGACTTGCCGGATATACGACAACGGTTCACAACAACACCAGTCGCTTCACTGTCCTCACAGAACGCAGGAGGCAATCATGCCTTTATGTTTTTATGAAGATTTCAGCTTTAATAAATGCAACCTGGAATATCATACACTACTGTACTGTTCAAACGTTTGGAATAATTCATTCAATTATTAATTATTGAAAACGGTTCATATTGTTTTTCAGGTTTCTTTGGCTGAATAGAACAGAATTTAATTGACAAGGGAAATCTTTTATAACATTATAAATGTTACAGTCACTTTTGGTCCATTTAGTGTGTCCTTGATGAATAAAAGCATTTCTTCTTTTAAAAAATAAGTGTTTTTGAACCGCAGTATAATTACACATGTGAACAGTGTAATGAACAGTTGGCAGAGAAGCTTCTGTTGAGAGACTGTATTTGACCTGCATCACAAACCGGTAAATATTTCATAATTCTTCATCTGTAAATGACAGTTTTATATGGATCATGTTTTAATAACACTTACTCGCATGCGATGGCGAGTGGCCGTTGATGTGGTTTTCTATGCAATGCCGTCAGCCAATCATAATTACTGACAAGCCTTAAAGGAGCCACGCCTTAAAAACGGATCATTTCAGACACAGGGTTGAAAATAATAGTCACTTTAATAAAGTGAACCTCAGGGAACATGTTAATATTAGTGCTGGGCAATGATTAATCACATCCAAAATAAAAGTTTGTGTTTACGTAATATATGTGTGTGTGTGTGTGTGTGTGTGTACTGTCACGATTCACGATACGATATTATTGCGATACTCCAAGACATATGATAAAAGATTAGCAAAAAATGCACTGTTGATTAAAATGCTAAATTTGATATTGCATTGTGTGTGTGAATGAACAGGCTTTTGGACTTGGTGCTGAAACCCAAAGCACAGGACAATAGAGACTCCAGAATAACAATATTCATGATTCTGAAGCTGAAAACACAGGATTATTGTAGACGAATATGCTTTACTCTGACTAGATATATTTCAAATAATGTAGGACACTTTTTACTGGTAACATCAGATATCAGGAGCCACTAATATTCCCCCACTGCATTTTCAGCATTATATATAAGAGTTTAGTGTAGGACTGACACTAAAACTTCTCACAAAGGAATCTTTTATTTTGGGTGAACTATCCACGACACATTGTTGCATTTTTGTATTGCAATATATTGTTACACTATTATACAAAATAATTATACACAGTACACACACATATCTTATGTAAACACAAACTTTTATTTTGGATGCGATTAATCGTTGCCCAGCACTAATTAAATCCATTAAATAAGCTAAACACGAATAGTACATTATTCACCACAGTTTGTCCATGATCTGATGGGAACGGATGAGATTTGTTTATTTGTATACCTCGACTGTGTTTGAATATTTCACTAGTATCAGCACTGGGATTCACTATTTGTATCACTCCGCTTGTCTGTGTTTGTGCAACTTGCATCATTAAGCCAGTAGGTGGCGACACGTGACTGTCATTATGAGTGAGCAATTGAACCAATAAATGAACAGATTAGTCCAAAAACACTGATTTAGGAAAGAAACAAGTTTCTAAAACTGATCTTTGATGCTCACACTAATTACTCAGAAGGATTGCATTGGCGTTTGATTGAAATGTAACATCTATGCAAAATAACTATTCAAAAGGTCATTCCCATTTCGAATATGTGATTGTGTTTTGTCAACAATAAGCATAAACATTCTGCATTTCAATTTTGTAGTGTGGATCATTCATTGCAACACTTATACTGATTCTCATGTTTAAGAATCTACTGTTATCCTTTTTTTGACCTTCAAACACCTTAAAGCTGCAGTGTGTAAGTTTTAGCAGCATCTAGTGGTGAGGTTGTGAATTGCACCCAACAGAAGTTACGGTGGCCGACAGGAAGTGATGTCGTCGTCTGAGACAGCAGAGAGTAGCCAGTTAAGCAATGAGGTTTCTTTACAAAGATTAAGCAATTAGGTTTACTTAATTATTCAGTAAAACGATATGTTATTGTGAATATTATTGTTACTTTGTTCATCATTGTGTCAGTGTTTTATTCGCTGACTTTAGCAGCTTCTTTACACGAAGAACAACATAGTGACGAAACGCGTTTGTCCGCTCAGGGCCACCGTAGAAACATGTGGATGTAAGCGGACCCGCGGTGTGTGTAGAGAGAAATGCCTGATTCTAAGCTAATAAAAGCATAATGGTTCATTATGTAAGGTCTTTATACACCACTGAACACATAATTATGTATATGATATTGCATTTGTCTACAGATCCTCCTAAATATTACACACTGCACCTTTAAATGCACATGTGTAGATCGGGCATTATTCACCACAGAAATGTAAATCCCAGTTTGTCCATGATCTGATTGTAACGGACGAGACGTTTACCTGAAGAAGCCCTTTTTGTTTTGTTTTATAAAAACAATTTTATTTAAAAAATATTTATTTATATAAAATGTAAAAAATATAATCAATCCCCTAAAAACAGCAAAAACATTAATAAACTGAGTCAAATTACATTTTTTTTTACCGAATTACATTTTGTAAACAGTGTAAACCGCAAATGAAGCACGCACAAGGGTTAAAAATCTATTCAAAAACAGCAGCATTATTCACCACAGACATGTAAATCCCCGTTCGTCCCTGATCTGGTGGTAATGACAGAGGTTTACCTGAAGAAGCCCTTGCAGCCCTCGCAGGTCATGGCGTTGAAGTGGAAACCGGAGGCTTTGTCTCCACACACTCCACAGATGCGCGGCGCGTTGCGGTCGAACTCATCGGGACCCGCCGCTGACGTGCTCACGGCCATGGCATCCATCACTGAGAACACCAGAGAGGGTTTCATTTAATGCCATGTCAGCATACAATACTATTTTCATGGCAAAAATTCAATTACAAAAATACAAATGTCATATAAATACAATAAAAAAAAAAAAGTCTTATTACACAATTCTTTTTTAAAGTAACATCCAAAACCTTTTCAGGCATAATCTTACTAAATAAGTCCTTCGAACACGAGAGAAGCGGTCAGAAAATACACCTCATCTACTCAAACATCTCGCACAGACACGAGAGACCAGTGGACGAAACATTTTTACATAATACACTGCATTTATGCATTTACCAGATGCTTTTATCCACAGCAAAACACCAGCTGTTGCACATGGAGAACGCAGACCGAAAGAGAGATGCATATGAATAAAACGGTAACACTTTACAATAAGGTGTATTAGTTAATGTATTAACTAACCATGAGCAATACATTTGTTACTGTATTTATTAATATTTGTTAATGTTAGGTAATAAAAATACAGCTGGTCATGTTAGTTCACAGTGCATTAAATAACGTTAACAAATACAAGCTTTGATTTTAATAATGCATTAGTAAATGTTGAAATGAATATCAACTAAGATTAATAAATGCTGTGGAAGTATTGTTCTTTCTTAGGTCATGTTAACTAATGAACCTTATTGTAAAGTGTTACCAATAAAACAACCAGTTAAAGAAGAAATAAACAATCTTTTTGCACATGTTAATCAACCCATCTGTTAACTAACGGTGTCAATTACACTAATAAAGAGTGAGATGTGAAAAACAATGAATGTTGCATTGAGCTCAGACACAGTTACAGAAACACACTGCATAATGAAATGAGCATTTACAGGTCAAAGGTCACGCAGAACGAGAGCAATGACGAACAGAGGGAAAGAAACAAAATATGACGAGATCTGGTTTCCATGAATAGTCACGCTAAAAGCATTTCTAGCAGCTATAATAATAATGATAATAATACGTGTGTGTTATTCTCCAGGTCATCATGTTCTTCCTGGAAGCGATAGGCTTGTTTTGCTCAGCGAGAGGAACAGATAACAAACAGCAGTAGAGATGCATGGCGTAGCATGCAGAAACGCATGCATGTGCGTGTGTGTGTGTGTGTGTGTGTGTGTGTGTGTGTGTGTGAGCAGGAGAACAAAAGCAGGAGGAGCTTCATTCAGATTCCTTGAAGACGCTGTGATCAGTACATCAGTCGCCACATCAATATCAATCCTTCACCCACGACACTCTCACACACACACACACAAATCGACTGAACAGAATCAGTAAATTCATGGAAATGTTGAACCTTTAAAATCAAAACGAAACTTTTTAAATATGTGAAGTGCTATTTAGTATGAATGAAACATGTACTAATGCTCACAATACCCTATTTGGGTAATAAAAAAATAAAATAAAAAAAGTAAACATGCAAATCCATTAGTTTTTTTTTTCATATTAAATGTAATACTTTATAATACAACTTTAGACCTTTCTAATGATTTATAGGAAAATGAAGCAGAATTTTCAAGTGCTCAACCAAACAGGATTGGATGTTGTTTGGATTGTGATTAGGGATATTGGGCTATGTAAATAAATCTGGCTTTATGTTAAGAAAGGGGTTTACATTTGGCAAATAAAAAAAAAACACTGTTTGTTTGAAAACACTTCTGTCATGACAACTCTGAGTGTTCGGGATGGTAATGAATATGACATTGTTGATCGGTTTGATCTTGGCGGAATAGATCTGCTATGCTGCTGTTATTATTTCTGTTATTACTGCCGCTGCTGCTGCTTTTCTGCCGCTGCTTTTCTGCCGCTGTTTCTATTTCTGCCGCTGCTGCCATTTCTGCCGCGCTGCCATTTCTGCCACTGCTGCTTTTCTGCTGCTATTTCTGCCGCGCTGCCCTTTCTCCTGCTGCTGCCATTTCTGCCGCTGCTGCTTTTCTGCCGCTGTTTCTCCTGCTGCTGCCCTTTCTATTTCTGTCGCCGCTGCTGCTATTTCTGCTGCCGCTGCAACTATTTCTGCCGCCGCCGCTGCTATTTCTGCCGCCGCCGCTGCTATTTCTGCCGCCGCCGCTGCTATTTCTGCTGCTGCCCCTATTTCTGCCGCTGTTTCTATTTCTGCCACTGCTGCCATTTCTGCCACTGCTGCTTTTCTGCTGCTATTTCTGCCGCCGCTGCTGCTATTTCTGCTGCTGCCCCTATTTCTGCCGCTGTTTCTATTTCTGCCACTGCTGCTATTTCTGCCGCTGCTGCCATTTCTGCCGCCATTTCTGCCGCTGCTGCCATTTCTGCCGCGCTGCCATTTCTGCCGCCATTTCTGCCGCTGCTGCCATTTCTGCCGCGCTGCCATTTCTGCCACTGCTGCTTTTCTGCTGCTATTTCTGCCGCGCTGCCCTTTCTCCTGCTGCTGCCATTTCTGCCGCTGCTGCTTTTCTGCCGCTGTTTCTCCTGCTGCTGCCCTTTCTATTTCTGCTGCCGCTGCAGCTATTTCTGTCGCCGCTGCTGCTATTTCTGCTGCCGCTGCAACTATTTCTGCCGCCGCCGCTGCTATTTCTGCCGCCGCTGCTATTTCTGCCACCGCTGCTGCTATTTCTGTCGCCGCTGCTATTTCTGCCGCCGCTGCAACTATTTCTGCCACCGCTGCAACTATTTCTGTCGCCGCTGCTATTTCTGCCGCCGCTGCAACTATTTCTGCCACTGCTGCTGCTATTTCTGCCGCCGCTGCTATTTCTGCCGCCGCTGCTATTTCTGCCACCGCTGCTGCTATTTCTGTCGCCGCTGCTATTTCTGCCGCCGCTGCAACTATTTCTGCCACCGCTGCAACTATTTCTGTCGCCGCTGCTATTTCTGCCGCCGCTGCAACTATTTCTGCCACCGCTGCAACTATTTCTGCCACCGCTGCTATTTCTGCCACCGCTGCAACTATTTCTGCCACCGCTGCTGCTATTTCTGTCGCCGCTGCTATTTCTGCCGCCGCTGCTATTTCTGCCACCGCTGCAACTATTTCTGCCACCGCTGCTGCTATTTCTGTCGCCGCTGCTATTTCTGCCGCCGCTGCAACTATTTCTGCCACCGCTGCTATTTCTGCCACCGCTGCAACTATTTCTGCCACCGCTGCTGCTATTTCTGCCACCGCTGCTGCTATTTCTGCCACCGCTGCTGCTATTTCTGTCGCCGCTGCTATTTCTGTCGCCGCTGCTATTTCTGCCACCGCTGCAACTATTTCTGCCACCGCTGCAACTATTTCTGCCACCGCTGCTGCTATTTCTGCCGCCGCTGCTGCTATTTCTGCCACCGCTGCAACTATTTCTGCCACCGCTGCTGCTATTTCTGCCGCCGCTGCTGCTATTTCTGCCACTGCTGCTGCTATTTCTGCCGCCGCTGCAACTATTTCTGCCACCGCTGCTGCTATTTCTGCCACTGCTGCTGCTATTTCTGCCGCCGCTGCAACTATTTCTGCCACCGCTGCTGCTATTTCTGCTGGTTATTGCTGTTGCAGAGCAAGTAAGACATGCTGCTTCTGTACAATATAGCATAAACGAACAGACGTAGCAGATCTATACAGGTGGAGCTGGGGAAGGTGGAGGGTTTCTGAAAGTGCTGCAACTGCTACAGCGAATGCAGACCAAGTATTTAAAGGTTGAGCAGCGAGCGAGCTCATTGGCTACTGATACAGCAGGAACCAATCAGCTGTGCCCTATAGAGAATGATGTGAATAAGGTTGGTGTTTTGTGTTCCCTGTGTGGAACATTAATGTACTTCGTCGGTCAAATGCCTGTTTAAGTGATGAACTGCACTACTTGTGTTTATTTTCAAAGATGCTAAAAACAGACATTTTATTCTTGTGCTACAATTATGTGGCCTTTAGTATTTTAATTGCATAATATAATGCAATTACAGAGCTTAATTTTAAGAATCTGATTACAGTTAATCAGTTACTACTTAGCACTGTATATATAGGCTATATGAAATATTATACATGTATTATTTTTCCAAATAAATGCAAAACGATTAGCAAAATAAAAAAAGAACAAAAAAACTTTAAATAAATAACTAAAACATTACATTTTACATAAGACTATTATAGGTACAGATTAGTTAGACCAGATTAGTTGGCCATTATTTTGAATCACAATTATGAAGAGTTTACACAAAAATTTCAAACAAAATGATGTTTCTTTTATTTAAATGTAAGTGATTCATAAATTTAAACTGTATATATATATACACTTCACTTATATTTCACTGCACTTAATGGTAATTCTTGTACAATTTATAGGGGTGGTGCTAGACTGTCAACTGTCACTTTTTTGTGCATAATAGTCAAGTAGTGATAGTTGATATATTGTTTCAACCCAAGTTTCACTTCCCTGTTCTTCAAGAATGAACCACATTTAACTTCCCTGAGACTGAATATTATGAGTTCGATCAGGAATTGTGTAACCAGTTTCAACCAGTTATTTCTAACAATGTGGTCTGTGCAAAACAAAAGCTTCTTCCAAGAGTGAGGGGAAAAAGAAAGCTCAGCAGTAAACACAACGCTTCATAAAACACAAATATATCATCCGAAGAATGAGACGCACAACATCACAACACACTGATGTTTGAAGGCTTGCATAATTCAGAATGTCAGTCAATGTTTCTTGTCCTAATTCAGTTTTGCATGATCATCCTTCATCCTCTCGATGGCACAGAAATGCAAGGCTGTTTTATGCAAATGAGCTGCTCTCTGCTGATTGGCTGATGTCTTAAGGCGCATAAACACAGATCAGAATGAAGCTTATGAACTTCTTCGCCTCAATTGGGGACATTTAATATTAAACAATATTATTGATCTCCTGCATTGACACTATTATATGAAAACTGAGCTGGACGATGACATCACTGTTTCTCCAGAGCGCCTATATATATATAAATGAACTAAATTAATAACTTTTTACAACAAAAATGAAGCATCACTGAACTGACTTAAGCTGGACTGTGACGCTATTCTCTTCTG